CACACACACACACACACACACACACACACACACACACACACACACACACACACAGGACTAATAACTATGACAGAAATTAACTAAGATGATCTGACATAGAATAATTTAACATAGACTAACATCATTAACATCATCTCCAGGTGAGGCGAGTTCTTAATTAGCTCAGCCACACAGGTAAGGTAGCTCCCACCTCTCATGCTCAAGGGTTGAGTCATCGTACTCAGGGGTTGTCATCGCACCAAGGGGTTGTCATCGTACTCAGTTTGTTTAAGTCATCGTACTCATGAAGGGGTTATCATCCAAGGAAGAATAATGAGAAATCAACTATAAAAAAATCTTGAGACGAGTGACTTAAGAGGCGTGAACTGCTTGGGCCCTCTCCTCCTCCCTCTTCCTCCTCCTCCTCCCTCTTCCTCCCTCCTCTTCTTCCTCCCTCCTCTTCCTCCTCCTCCTCTTCCTCCTCCTCCCTTCCTCCTCCTCCTTATTTTGTGCTTATTATCTACCTGGGATATACCTGGAGTACACACACACACACACACACACACACACACACACACACACACACACACACACACACACACACACACACACACACACATACGTCACACTGAATGATACATGATTGTGTGGATTATTACTCAGAAACGTAATAACCAGATGGAGGAGGGGAGGGAGGGGAGATGGGGGGGGAGAAGGAGGAGAAGGTGTATACTGCCCATTAGCCTTTTCTCCATCTCCCTCCTCCTCTTCCTTCTACCCCTACCCCTCCTCCCTCCTCCTCCTCCCTTCCCCGCCCATCCAATCATCATTATTCACTACCTGGATGGCATTTAATTTCCTACCTTCATCATCATAATTCCTCCCATCACCTCCCCATCACCCCTTCTCCTCCCTCTTCATCCCCTTTAATTCCCCCTTCCTCTTCCATAATCCATCCCCTCGTAGATCCCACTAACCACCTCTCCCTTCCCCTTCCCCTCCCCACCTCTATGAATATGTATGCCCATGTACCCTTAAATTGTATTATAGTTTTAAGGCATTTGACCCATATGCATCCTGAAGTAAGTGTCATTTCATGTTATCATCCAGTGGTAAAGGAGAGAGGGTATTGTAATCTGTCCTCGTGTATGGGTGAGTGAAATAGGTAGTTGTGTTGTTGTTGTTGTTTTTGAAGTGTGAAGTTGTTTCTCTCTTTCGTTGTAACAACTTTAAGAAATAATAATAATAATAATAATAATAATAATAATAATAATAATAATAAAAGAATCCTCACTAGTCGGCAAAATCACATGGTAATATCTGACGTCAGCACCTTAACCTAATCTCCTCCCCCACCAACCTCCCACCTCCCCCACCTCCCGCCACCAGTTTAATAATCCCAGGAAGTGTTATATATGTCCTAGCATCTTGTACTGGGAGGAAAAAATTGCTTACGACAACAAATTATAAACCGAGACGAGAATTTTAATACTATAAATTACATCATGTTCCAATACTTTTTTGGGGGAAGGTCGTATAATCAGTATCTATAGTTGTTATCTTTAAAAATATGTTGACCCCTCAGTATAAATTTTGGCTGGAATTTTTTTAAAGGTTTTGGGTAGTATAGTATAGAAATTGTTTGTCGTTTTATGAGTGTGTTTGTGTTTTATTATTATTATTATTATTATTTTGTTAGTAGTAGTAGTAGTAGTAGTAGTAGTAGTAGTGGAATGGTGAGTGTTCTGTAGGTGAATGGTGTGAAGTGTCTGTAGTGTGTGAATGGTGTGAGTGCTACCCTGGTAGTGTGAAAGATGAGCGCGGCAGGAAAGAAAATCAGGATTTAATGTTCATTCTGCCGGCCGGAGAGAGAGAGAGAGAGAGGATGTGAGAGGTGGAAAGTTAAGGATGAAGAATGGGAATTTATGATGGAGAGGAAGAGACGGGGTTGAGAAAGGGAAGGAGAGAGAGAGAGAGAGAGAGAGAGAGAGAGAGAGAGAGAGAGAGAGAGAGAGAGAGAGGTTGCATTCACAGTTCCTGTATTAATAATAATATTAATAATAATAAGAGCAACAAAAACAACAACAACAATAATAACAACAACGACAACAACAATAACAACAACAACAAATAAATAATAATAATAACAAACGACAACAACAATAACAACAACAACAACAACAACAACAACAATAATAACAACAACAACAATAACAACAACAACAACAACAACAATAATAACAACAACAACAATAACAACAACAACAACAACAACAACAACAACAACAACAACAACAACAACAACAACAACAACAACAACAACAACAACAATAACAACAACAACAACCAATAACAACAACAACAACAACAACAACAACAACAACAACAACAACAACAACAACAACAACAACAACAACAACAACAACGACAACAACAATAACCAACAACAACAACAATAACAATAACAACAACAACAACAACAACAACAACAACAACAACAACAACAACAACAACAACAACAACAACAACAACAACGACAACAAAACAACAAATAAATAACTAAACAACAACAACAACAATAACAACAACAACAACAACAACAACAACAACAACAACAACAACAACAACAACAACAACAACAACAACAATAACAACGACAACAACAATAACAACAACAACAAACCAATAATAACAACAACAACAACAACAACAACAACAACAACAACAACAACAACAACAACAGCAACAACAACAACAATAACAACAACAACAACAACAACAACAACAACAATAACATCAGGGGTGTAACAGGTGTATAATAAATGCATAATTGTAAATATATATATATATATATATATATATATATATATATATATATATATATATATATATATATATATACAGTATATATATACCAGGTGTGCAAGAGCAAAACACACCTGTTCCTCTGTCCACCACTAAACTAATTAACTCTTTACAAAAATATAACATTCCTTCCTCCATTACACATTCCTCCCTCCATTACACATTCCTTCCTCCATTACACATTCCTTCCTCCATTACACATTCCTTCCTCCATTACACATTCCTTCCTCCATTACACATTCCTCCCTCCATTACACATTCTTTCCTCCATTGCACATTCCTTCCTCCATTACACATTCCTCCCTCCATTACACATTCCTTCCTCCATTACACATTCCTTCCTCCATTACACATTCCTTCCTCCATTACACATTCCTTCATCCATTACACATTCCTTCCTCCATTACACATTCCTTCCTCCATTACACATTCCTTCCTCCATTACACATTCCTTCCTCCATTACACATTCCTCCCTCCATTACACATTCCTTCCTCCATTACACATTCCTTCCTCCATTACACATTCCTCCCTCCATTACACATTCCTTCCTTCCTCCATTGAGTATATTCTTCCTCTCAATACATTCTCCCTCCATTACACATTCTTCTCCATTACATTACTCCTCCTCCATTACACATTCTCCCTCCATTACACATTCCTTCCTCCATTACACATTCCTTCCTCCATTACACATTCCTTCCTCCATTACACATTCCTCCCTCCATTACACATTCCTCCCTCCATTACACATTCCTCACGTTTTTTTTCATGACCCTAAATTATGTGTGAAATTTTTTTCTTAGGGATGAAATGTGAGTTGAATTTTTTTTATCATTAAATTGTGAGGTTTTGCTGTATCACTACTACTTCTACTACTACTACTACTACTACTACTACTACTACTACTACTACTATCACTACTACTAATACCACTACTACTACTTCTATTATAACCACTACCACCACCACTACCACCACCACCACTACCACCACCACTACCACCACCACTACCACCACCACTACCACCACCACTACCACTACCACAACCCCTACCACCACCACCACCACCACCACTACCACCACTACCACTACCCCTACCACTACTACCACCACTACTACCACCACCCCAGGCTATAGTTCACGACCCACATTCAACAGATCTGGACTCACTTACCTCACCCAGAGCCTAATGCTAGAGTCTCTCACATAGTCTCCTTGTCTGATGTCTCTTATCTAAAGATGTGAGGAACGTACATAACAGACCCCATCTATGTGTCGTAGCTTAAGTGAGAGAGATAGATACGTTCTTATGTTTCTGTCAGATTAGAAATTATCGTAAGTTGCTCTAAAGATACAGTGTTTATACGGTAGGAGACGGGACCTATACAAATATGCTTGTAAGTAGGAGGAAAAACGGGGAAGGAGGGGGGAGAGGGGGAAGGAGGGGGGAGAGGGGTGGGGGGAAGGTAGGAGGAGGGAGGGAGACAGATGAATGTGCATCCCTGGAAAATCCACTTTTGCATCCGAGTGAACGTGACCCAGGTTATATAAAGTGGTCATGAGTAAGGAAGATAAAATTCTAAAGCGAACGAGATCCTTTCAGATTCTCGGGGGTCGCTGTATTGAGTATGTTCAGCGGACCTTACTGGCATTACACACGATCTCTAAGCCCCCCTTCCTCCTCCTCCTCCTCTCCTTCCTCCTCCTCCCTCTCCCTCCCTCTCTCTCTAATACCTGGTGTATTCAAGCCCTTCAGTAATATATCAACAACTGCTACGTGTGGTGGACAAAAATAAAATAAAAGGAAAAAAAAAAAATTTCCTATTTTGATGCAAAAATATATTAAATTACATCTTTTTTTTTTTTTTTTAGTGGCTTGTTTGTTGTGTTGTGGTAGGGTTAGTAGTTGTGGTTGTGGTGGTTTAGGTGCTGGTAGTGGTAATAGGTGTTAGTAATTGTGGTAATGAGGATTTTGGTGGTGGTGGTGGTAGGGATATTAATTGTGGTGATAGTGGTTTGAGTGGTGGTGGTGGTAGTAGAGTCTGCAGTAATCATGATATTAGTAGTTGTGGTAGTAATGGTGGTAGGGTTAGTAATTGTGGTGTTAGTAATTGAAGTGATAATGATGATGATGATAGTAATTGTGGTAGGGACGGTAGAAGTGATAATAGTGGTGGTAGTGGTGATGATAATTGTGGTAGTAATGGTGGTAGAGACTGAGGTATAATATTCTGTACACACGCACACACACACGCACACACACACACGTACGCACATAAACACACGCACACAACCGGAAACTTGAAACTTGTGGCAGCAGTTCATGAAAACAAAACATTTTCGTGTGTGATACAACCCTGATTTATGGAGAGAGATAGAATACATACATACATACATACATTCATACATCATACATACATTCATACATCATACATACATTCATACATCATACATACATACATACAATCAACACCTCAACCCACCAGGGTTATATATATATATATATATATATATATATATATATATATATATATATATATATATATATATATATATATATATATATATATATATAAGTTACCCCGTTAACATGCTCTCTGTTGTACTATGAAAGAAAATGTAACTTTTATACGGTAAACTTATTCATTCTGTTGTTTTTATTTATTGTTAAGCATCTTACACATTGTGGTCGGTGCTTTTATATTGGTGTTATTGAATATATTTATGGCAATAGGTTTTTACTTTTATAATGACTTTATTTTAACTCTGTCTGTGTGTGTGTCTCTTTCTGTAAACAGGGCTGTGTGGGCTGTGTGGGCTGTGTGGGCTGTGTGGGCTGTGTGGGCTGTGTGGGCTGTGTGGGCTGTGTGGGCTGTGTGGGCTGTGTGGTAAGAATATGTATTTCGTCATATGTATGTATGTATGTCTGTGCCCTCATAGTGGCCAATACACCGTTATTTAATACACATATACAGGTAACTCCCAGGAATCAAATCACTATAATTATCTAAATGATTTCATGAACTTCAACATCTCCCGGGGATATATATACACGTTCAGTAAATAATTTATCGCTCTGAGAATAAAAATCTATATTTATTTATCGGTTACGTCACGGGTCAACAATTGTTATGTTAAAGTTATCCTTACGACTGTTGATGTAAGAATGTATTTAAATTATTGACTTTAACTTCAGACTCAATAATAATGTCCATCTGAATTATATGCCGTAACATTCTACTCTTAACGTAAGCTAACATAACTTAGCATAACCTAACGTAACCTAATGTAACCTAACCTAACGTAACCTAACCTAATGTAACCTAATCTAACCTAACTTAACCCCCCATCAATTTACCGTTAGGGGTGTTTAATCATCAGGTGAGATCCAGTGTCAGTAACGATGAATATACGATCAACAACAAAGCAACACCTGCATTGTATCGGGGCGCAGGAGGTGTGTGTAGAGGTGCTGGGACTTGGTACATCATCAGTCAGTGTGCTGTGAGCCGCGATAGAGGAAGGGTGTCACTCCTCAACCTCCTCTTCCCACCACTTGAGAATCTTCCCCCCGCGTGTTGTTTTGGTTCGTCTGGAGTATCATTGTAAACACTTAAGTCAACGTTGTTTACCTCGAGGGATAGTTAAAGTGTCAACATTAGGAGGACAAGATGAGGACATTAGACGTAGTTATACTCATTTTCCTCACTGTCTCAGGCGTCGCTTCTCAATACTCACCCATTATGACGTAAGATAAATTTATATTTTATTAGTCTCTTGTTTATATAATATTTTCTGTTTGTTGTTGTTTCTTATTTATGTTTGTACGTATAAGACATTAGAGTCCAGTCAAGGGTTACAGCCCCCGTGTATTCGTCCGCTCTGTGTGTGTGTGTGATGATGATTTCAGACTTAAAGAAGACCATTTCTCTAAGTCACTATTCGCCCATTTTACCCATAACCGGGATATCGTGAGTTGAGAACCAGAAGACTACAAGTAAAGTTATTGTTGTATTTATTGCCACTAACAGAATCTCAGGACTTTAATTTTGTTGACATTTCTGTAGATAATTAGAAGGCCTGGAACCAAGATATTTAATACACCGGAGAGAGGGGAGGGGTCCGGTTAAGAGCACCAACCAAACACCACCTAACTTACCTTAACCTAACCTAACTCACCCTAAACCCTAACCTAACCTAACCTAACTCACCCTAAACCCTAACCTAACCTAACCTAACCTAACCTAACCTAACCTAACCTAACCTAACCAAACCAAACCACAATGGCTGCTGTTTATTTACCCTTATGCCGTAAGTCTAATAGTCCCTGCTGTGTGGTGGACAGAGACTACATCATTCTGTTTGTTTGAAGTACACTGGATTCCATGACGTGAATAGAAAATATAACAGAGAACAGTACCGTCGCTTGTCAATATCCAGGGTGATGATAAATGATAAATAGTTGAAATAAATTGAAGCTGTGTGAAAGGTTAATCAATGTGTGTGTTTGTGTATGTGTGTGTGTGTGTGTATGTGTGTGTGTGTGTGTTTGTTTGTGTGTGTGTGTGGTTGATGGAATGTCCCCCCCCCCTCCTCCTCCTTGATATTCTTTTGTATTGTTGTTGTCATGTATAGAAAATGTGAGTAACAAAGAAACGAAAGTAACAAAGAAACGGAACTAACAAAGAAACGAAAGTAACAAAGAAACGAAAGTAACAAAGAAAATGGAACTAACATAGAAAACGGAAGTAACAAAGAAACGAAAGTAACAAAGAAACGAAAGTAACAAAGAAACGAAAGTAACAAAGAAACGAAAGTAGCAAAGAAAACGGAACTAACATAGAAAACGGAAGTAACAAAGAAAACATAACATGAAAAACACAAGTAAAATATAACAATACAACACTTCATTTTACTCAGAACAAAAACATTCATAAAATAATACCTTTTCTCTATTAATTTTGGCTTATGATAAAACAGAAAGAAACAAACGGAAGAAAAAAACAAACAATTCGTGATAGCAATTTGTCTTGATGTGAACAAAAACATAAATATCAAATCAAGAGAACTAATCATTATTCACTTTAATAGTAATAGAAAACTATATTAGGTAAATTAAATCAGTTCGTCAAGTCCTGTGATGGCAATATGCTATGTGATGGGTTTTTATGCTATGTGATGGGTTTTTATGCTATGTGATGGGTTTTTATGCTATGTGATGAGTTTTTATGCTATGTAATCGCTTTTACGCTGTGATAGTTTTTATGCTATGTTATCGTTTTTTATGCTATGTGATGGATTTTATGCTATGTGATCGTTTTTATGCTATGTGATGGGTTTTTATGCTATGTGATGGGTTTTTATGCTATGTGATGGATTTTATGCTATGTGATCGTTTTTATGCTATGTGATGGGTTTTTATGCTGATGTTTTTATGCTATGTGATGGGTTTTTATGCTATGCTATGTGATGGGTTTTTATGCTATGGGTTTTTATGCGTTTTTATGCTATGTGATGGGTTTTTATGCTATGTGATGGGTTTTTATGCTATGTGTGGGTTTTTATGCTGTGATGGGTTTTTATGCTGTGATGGGTTTTTATGCTATGTGATGGGTTTTTATGCTGTGTAGTGGGATTTTAGAATTGTATTTTTACTTATTTATTACAATATATAAGTAAATATAATTAACTGTTAATGGTATTATTTTAGGAATTCAATGATGATACGTAATTAACGGAGTTCAATTGGTTTAATCAATCTCTCTCCTAATAATCATAATAAATAGTTAAAATATACAATAAACATCAAAAGAAAGAGTATTGAGTAAAACTATAGAGAAATCGACATACAGATAGAAATAAAATGAAATAGTAACATTTATATTATTTCTCCCGTAACAAGATAACCCGAGAAAAACAACACTCATTTATACGAATGTTAAATCATACGAAGGACAGATTTCTGGACATCAAAATATCACAGAAAATCGTTAAGAGATGAATTGACATCATTGAGTTGGAAAATATTACAATTTCTCCCAGCCATTTAGTTCATGGTATTGTGTAAGGGTTATTTAGTTAAGTTATCCATGGTATTGTGTAAGGGTTATTTAGTTAAGTTATCCATGGTATTGTGTAAGGGTTATTTAGTTAAGTTATCCATGGTATTGTGTAAGGGTTATTTAGTTAAGTTATCCTGATTGATTTTATTTTCTTTATTTGTTCGTTACGTTTTCTAATCTGATTCTTAGACATTCCTACGATGATATATATTTTTTCTTAGACGATGATGATTCAGAATGTACAGTTGGGGACAAAATTCCTGTAGATTTGGTATTATCTAGGTAACATGTAAATACTTGAGGTAGTGAAAATTGGAATTTTAAAGTTAATTTTCTTTCCTTTCCGTAGTTAAGTGAATGTATCTAGTTAAGGTAGAGTCTCAGTGTTAATTTTGTCTCTAACTGGTGTTAAGTGAATGCATCTAGTTAAGGTAGAGTCTCAGTGTTAATTTTGTCTCCTAACTGGTGTTAAGTGAAGGTATCTAGTTAAGGTAGAGTCTCAGTGTTAATTTTGTCTCTAACTGGTGTTAAGTGAATGCATCTAGTTAAGGTAGAGTCTCAGTGTTAATTTTGTCTCTAACTGGTGTTAAGTGAAGGTATCTAGTTAAGGTAGAGTCTAAGTGTTAATTTGGGTGTTATTTTTGCGTTTAACTTAAATTACCCAGTAGAATTCTTGCTAGAGCCTCGTATAAACATATGAGAATTAATCAGCATAATACTAACCACATTTGAAGCAGTAATTCATCTCCGTTAGAAATATTATGGATATGATAACCTCAGTGGCGCTAGCAAAATAACCTGACCTAACCTAACTAACCTAACCTAACCTAACCTAACCTGACCTATCAACCTAACCTAACCCAACTAACTAATAACCAATAATTATGTGTTGTGTCATTAGATTAGGAAATAAGCTTTTGAACCGGTTTTAGTGGCCATTCATTAATATCATCATAGAGGCTTACAGTGACTCAGCGTGTGTATTGACAGTGCAGGTACACAATCAACAGGAAATCGATTCGACCACAAGGAGAGCCAACAATGTCGTTGATTACCTCTGAAGTACACCTGAATATTGTATTTAAATTCTACCGACGTGAATTCACAGGAAGATTTTATTGAATGGCAGTCTGTCTGTCTGTCTCACTGTCTGCCATAAGCAATCCTAGTCATATTTATATCCGATTTCCGTTAAGTGTGATGAGTGGCCCCATTCAGGAGTGACTGAACTGAAATATGGACCGAAGAATTACCTACCTTGAAGAGATTCGACCCAACGAACACTACTAAAGAAGCATTAACATGAATAAGTAAATAAGTTTTGGTCATTAAGATAATTTTCCTTCGAAGAGATTTCGTGATATAGAGTGATGATGTGGGTGGTTAGGTTAGGTTAGGTTAGGTTTTGAGATAGGTTAGGTTAGGTTAGGTTGGATGATTTAAGTTTAGGTTATGGAGTTTAGATGAGTTTGGTTTGGTTGGGTTTAAGTTAGGTTTAGGTTAGGTTAGGTTGGGTTTGGTTTGGTTTGGGTTTAGTTAGGTTTAGTTTAGGTTGGGTTAGGTTGGGTTAGGTTTGGTTTGGTTAGGTTTAGTTAGGTTTAGGTTAGGTTAGGTTGAGTTTGTGTCTTCGGTGAAACGTAAGTATCCATTCAAAACCATAGTGAATCTTACTTCTTTGTTACAAACTGTGGCAGGTTACATGGGTCGGGGTCAGGGTCGGGAGGTGGGCACTGTTAGATATGGGTCGGCCTCCTCCACCCAGTTAAACAGTGGTGAGTATTCTCGGGTTATATACAATACAATACACCATATTTCAACCTTATCTTGAAACTCGCCATCTTGTAAAAGCAAGTTAATAGTAAAATAATTTAGGTTGACTATGGGGGTGGGGTTCTTTCTTTGGGGGCTGTGGGGTTTTCTTTGGGGGCTGTGGGGGTTGTCTTTCTTTGGGGGCTGTGGGTGTCTTTCTTTGGGGCTGTGGTCTTTCTTTGTGGGCTGTGGGGGTGTCAGGGGTGTCTTTCTTTGGGGCTGTGGGGTGTCTTTCTTTGGGGGCTGTGAGGTGTCTTTCTTTGGGGGCTGTGGGGTGTCTCTCTTGGGGCTGTGGGGGTGTCTTTCTTTGGGGGCTGTGGGGTGTGTCTCTCTTTGGGGGCTGTGGGGGGTGTCTTTCTTTGGGGGCTGTGGGGGTGTCTCTCTTTGGGGGCTGTGGGGGTTTTCTTTGGGGACTGTGGGGGTGTCTTTCTTTGGGGCTGTGGGGGTGTCTTTCTTTGGGGGCTGTGTGGGGGTCTTTCTTTGGGGGCTGTGGGGGTTTTTCTTTGGGGGCTGTGGGGGTGTCTCTTTGGGGCTGTGGGGGTGTCTCTCTTTGGGGGCTGTGGGGTGTCTTTCTTTGGGGCTGTGGGGGTGTCTCTCTTTGGGGGCTGTGGGGTTTTCTTTGGGGTGTCTTTCTTTGGGGGCTGTGGGGGTGTCTTTCTTTGGGGGCTGTGTGGGGTCTTTCTTTAGGGCTGTGGGGGTTTTCTTTGGGGGCTGTGGGGGTGTCTTTCTTTGGGGGCTGTGGGGGTGTCTTTCTTTGGGGGCTGTGTGGGGTCTTTCTTTGGGGCTGTGTGGGGTTTCTTTGGGGGCTGTGGGGGTGTCTTTCTTTGGGGGCTGTGGGGGTGTCTTTCTTTGGGGGCTGTGGGGTGTCTTTCTTTGGGGGCTGTGGGGGTGTCTCTCTTTGGGGCTGTGGGGGGTGTCTTTCTGGGGCTGTGGGGGTGTCTTTCTTTGGGGCTGTGGGGGTCTTTCTTTGGGGGCTGTGGGGTCTTTCTTTGGGGCTGTGGGGTGTCTTTCTTTGGGGGCTGTGGGGTCTTTCTTTGGGGGCTGTGGGGTCTTTCTTTGGGGGCTGTGGGGGTGTGTTGAGACGATATATATTCCTGCTTCATAACACGTGTGACAGTGTAGTGATTCTCAAGGTTGTTAAAATGAATATATTCCTCGTAACTCAAGATGTGAGAATGCACTTCATAAATTTTGACTTAAACTAAAACATAAAAACAGCGTCTAGATGATAGTTAATAATTTCTGTCGGGTGTTATCAAGTCACTGAGGATGACTCATGTGGGGCTTCCTGTACCATAACATATTTTGTTTCTTTGTTTTTCTTATTATTTTTAGGTTAGTTTTTATAACTTATATTTTTGTTTCTGTTTTTCGTCGTTTTTAGACTTTTTCATTATTTAAGTATTGGTGTAAGTCACCCCCCACCACCACCACCAGCCACACACCACCCTCCACCACACCACCACCACCGCCCCCCACCACCACCACCACGCCCCCCCACCAACACCACCACCACCCCTCCACCACCACCACCCCTCCACCACACCACCACCCTCCACCACACCACCACCACCACCACCACCATGCCCCCGTGGTGAAACTGGACCACAGGAATGAGGCTCCGAACTAACTTATCTGGTACTTGGGTTTGCTCTTTCATCTCATACTTGGTATCGATACTGCTTCAGTTTAATAATGACCCAACTTTTGTTCCTAACTTTACTATATTCAACTACTAAAGTCCGTTCGCCTTCCCTCTCTCTGAACCACGAACCAACGAGAT